GTTCACTAAATCCAGCCTGTTGTGGGATGGTTCCAAGGCAGGTGGAATTTGGGATACTACAGAATGTTTCACTAATTCCATTCTGTTGTGGGATGGTGGCAGTCCAAGGCAGGTGGAATTTGGGATGCAGTCCCAGCCTGGCTGCAGGGAGCTGGGGCCCAGCCTCCATCCTGCCCTTGAGGTGGAGCACCCATGGGATTTGCAGGAAAAAGCCCCTTCCCTTTTGTCCCTTTTGTCCCTTGGGTGTGTTGCTGTGACCAAGAGCCTTTTTGGGAACACAAAGGCTTCAGAGGAACAATGGGGAGTGTTTGTGGTGTTTACTCATGAGTCATTTCCTGGAAAACAATTCCTATTTATTTGTCCCTGTGGCTTTTGTGTGACTGGCTCCTGTTGCTGTATCCTGTCTCACTGCCTTTCCTGGTCCTTTGCAGGAGTTCTGCAGGACAAGGATCTGTTCTCTGTGTTTGCAGACCCCAACATGCTGGACACGTAAGTTCCCCGAGCTGGGGCGGTGATTCAGCAGTGCCTTTGTGTCACCTGGGTGGGACAGAGCTCTCTGCTCCTGCCTCCCAGGCTGGGTCACTCCTGTCAGGAAACACGGATCCACCACTTGGGTTAATCCAGAGGGTGTTTGGTGGGAGGCAGGGCCATCATGGCCTCCAGATCAGGGTTCACACCTGGGTGAGCTGCTCACAGCAGAGAGCTGCTCCCATGAAAACCTTGGAAAAGTCAGCATGGGTCCAGAGGGATCCTTGGAGAACCAAGGAAAGGTTGGGTCCAGAAGGTTCCTTGGTGAACAGAGACAAGGTCCAACATGGATCCAGAAGGATCCTTGGGGAACCAAGGCAAGGTCCAATATGGGGTCCAGAATGATCCTTGGAGAACCAAGGCAAGGTCCAACATGGATCCAATAGGATCCAAGACTGGGTCCCCCATGGGTCCAGAAGAATCCTTGGTGAGCCAAGGCCTGGTCCAATATGGGGTCCAGAATGATCCTTGGAGAACCAAGGCAAGGTTGGGTCTAGAAGGGTACTTGGTGAACCAAGGCCAGGTCCAGCGTGGATCCAGAAGGAACCAAGGACAGGTCTAGCATGGATCCAGAAGGATCCTTGGTGATCCAAGGCCAGGTCCAGCGTGGATCCAGAAGGATCCAAGGCCAGGTCCAGCGTGGATCCAGAAGGATCCAAGGCCAGGTCCAGCGTGGGTCCAGAAGGATCCAAGGCCAGGTCCAACATGGATCCAGAAGGATCCAAGGCCAGGTCCAGCATGGATCCAGAAGGATCCTTGGTGATCCAAGGCCAGGTCCACCATGGATCCAGAAGGATCCAAGGCCAG